TCAGATTTACAGTATTGCAAAAGCATATCTAATCTAATTAATAACAAAACAAAGCTTAAATTTCTATAACATTGTATCAATAATTCTAAGTTACATCATCTCCATTCAATAACAACCTATCAGGTATAATCATGCATGAGGAACCATATACTTCATTACCAGCTTGCTTATACTATAGTCTTTAGAGTTTATGAACGACGATCAATTGAGGGCGTTTGGTGCTATTGATTTGGGGAATGCGAGTTTCAACCACGCTGTACAGATTCAAGAACCCTTTTTCATTTAGTTTTTTCAAGGGGACCAGGATGTAGACCTTGAAGACTCAAGCATTTGTAGCTATTTGTGACAGGCTATTTTTAGCATTATATTTTGTTAGTGTCCGAGCCCTTGGTTCACGCAACTCGCTTGCGTTTAAATGCAATTTGACAACAAATAAGAGGCTTAAAACGTTGAAGTGACGGGTTTCAGTCACGCAGAAAAATCTAAAGATTAAAGTGAGTGGATTAAAACCTGACCTCTAAAGCTGCGAATAAGCAGACAGGTATATATAACTCACAAAAAATAATTGTTAGGTCCATGAGCAATATCTCATTGTATGTATACCACCATTGGTGATATCAGGGAAACAGGCCAGATCGTAATCAATGAATCAATGAATCAATGAATCAATGAATCAGTGAATCAGTGAATCAGTGAATCAGTGAATCAGTGAATCAGTGAATCAGTGAATCAGTGAATCAGTGAATCAGTGAATCAGTGAATCAGTGANATCAGTGAATCAGTGAATCAGTGAATCAGTGAATCAGTGAATCAGTGAATCAGTGAATCAGCAAATCACTGAAACAGTGAATCAGCGAATCAGCGAATCAGCGAATCAGTGAATCTGTGCATCTGTGAATCAGTGAATCAGTGAATCAATGAATGAATGAATCAATGAATGAATGAATCAATCAATCAATGAACCAATCAGCCAATCAGTCAGTAAGTCAGTCAATGAGTCAGTCAGTCAGTCAGTCA